ACACATGATTCCACTGATATGAGGGATCTAAAGAGTCAGAGTAGTGGAATAAAAGCATGGTTGCTAGGAGGCTGGAGGGGCAGTTACTAAGCAAAGCCATAAACTTTCAGTTGGCCTTGATGAGTAAGTTCTAGATGGCTGCTGTACACCATTGCTGTGGTCACCAATAATGTGTTGTGAGCCTGAACATGTGTTGAGAGGGTGAATCTCATGTTAAGTGTTCTTACCTCAAAAGCATGAAGTATAATACAATTAAATAGAAATAAAGCCACTGCCTGATGTTAGACAGGGCTGGCATTTTCTTCCCTGCCACTTCTGACACCAGCATCTTCCTGTTCTTTCTGTGTCTGTCTCTGGCAGCCAGAGCTGTGAGGAAAACAACCATAGGACCTAATTCAAGGAGGGCCAGGGTGGGAACCCAGGGGCCAAGGTGCATGATGGAGACAGGGGGACATAAAAGAGGCAGCACCTGGTGACGATGTGGACATCCTTCCAGCACACATCTGCTTTCTGCAGGGGTGCAGATACATGGCCAAGGGCAAACAAGCAGAAGAACAAAATACAGGATAATGAGTGTGGTAAATGCACAGAGCCTCTCAACAGGAGCTTTTATGCCCCTATAGCATTTCAGTCTCCAAGAAAAGCTGTTCACTGCCAAATCAGCCACAGTTGGCCATTGCTGAGTGTCACATTCATTGCTGCTCCATGGAAAACCTTCTCCACTATGGAAAGGGTCCATGTCCAGGAGAGTCATGCTGGGTGACCCAAACCACAGTGCGTTCTCTCTCAGGGGCAGGCTGCTCTGCCCTCGAGCAGGGCCTGCTCGCTGGGCTCTTTGGAAATAACGTGGAGTGTTAGTGTTTCCACCACCTCAGGCAGAGGGAATGTGAGAAGTGGGGAGTGTGGTCTGCTGGGAATGGTGGCCGACCCCCCGGTATCCCAGATCTTTATTTCTCCTTCCCAGCCCAGCCAGGGACTCAGCGCCAGTGAGGCGGCCTCTCCTTCCATTCCTCCAAGCATCAGTCCAGCATCTGCTGGCGGCAGGCTCTGCCTGGGCACTGAGAATCCAGAGGCCAAGGCCAGACGTGGTCCTCCCTGTGGAGCTCATGGACAGGGTCAGAAGTGCCCACTGCATTGTGAGCTCGTGGCATTGCACCCGTCCACCTTGCAAGGAGGCTGGGCCAGGGCCGGATGAAGGTCCCGGGGCAGCCAGGAAAAGTGCTCAGCTTTACCTTGTCCAGAAACCAGAAGCTCTGCGCATCTCAGCCAACCAGCCCCTGACAGTGTGGGCTGCGCGCCATCACAGGACTCTCCTCACAGGTGCAGGCATCAGGTTGGAGCCAAACCAGGCGACCTACATAGATGACTCAAAGATAGGACTGAAAGAGAAGGTTCAGGTCTCGAGTCTCCTTTCTGTGAGTGAGTAAGCACAATAGTTAAAAAGTGCAGGCCAAGCCAGGTGTGGTGGGGCACACCTGTCATAATCAGCACATGGGAGGCCGAGGCAGGACTGCGCAGATCAGAATCCATGGAGTAGGCTCCAGGTCAGGCGATGCTGCATTGCTAGTTTCTTTGCTTTTGAAGTAAGGGTGGCACAAGGCCTATGCAGGAAGGCAGAGTGGGAGGGCATCACAAGAACAGCCCTGGAGCCTGGGCTGTGGGTACCCCTAGAGCAAGGGGATGAGGGCAGGGAGGGCCCCGTTACCAGGTGTGTGTCAGAGAGAAAGAGAGGGTGCGGGAGTCTGCTCCCAGGAGAGAGCAGCGCCTCTGTCCAAGAGCACAGCCGGCCACAGAGCTGGGGGGCACCCTTGATGCCCCCTCTATGACCACCTTTGCCTTGGCCCTTGGGTGGCACCCACGGGTGCCTAAGGCTGCTGTTCCATGCACCTGTCCACGCAGATCAGCCTGCAGCGCACAGTGCGCGGCTCTGGAGGAGCCGACAGGAGACACCTGGGGTGCTTGTCTTACCGGCGTGACAGTGACGCATGCTGATGCAGGACAGGCTCCTGACCCAGCGTGAGGAGACAGTGGAGGCCGAACTAGAAAAGTAACCAGGTCTAGCAGTGTGTCTGCATACATGTGCCACACGAAGGTCGAGGTGGGCTAAATGGTGACAGGAAGTCGGCAGCTGTGAGGACTTCCTGGGAGACAGCTCCAGGTGGGCTGGGGGCACGGGGTGGCCCTGCCCCAGTGGATGGCTTTGATGGCAAAATTTCAGTGTGCCTGACCATAAACTTCTAGGCCTAGAAAATGGAGAATGTCCCTGTCATGTCTGAGAACCCAGATGACACACGATGTGTAGGTTATGTGAGGGTCTGATATATAAAATACATCCCACTGCAGGGCATTAGTAAAGAACACTGGACTAGCAGTGCTGATGGCAGCCTTGTGACAATGACAGCCCCACGTCTTGTATGAACAAACTGTCCTTGCTCCTTTCGGTCCACCTGCTCGCTAGCCAGCCTGGCCAGGGGCTCTGTCACATCTCTGCGTCACTCACATGTTGAGCAATCTACATTTGCTCTTCTGATTTACAGTGATGCTTTGGTTCACAAACATAATTCTTTCCACGATTCTGGTCATGAACTGAATTGGACGACAACCAAATCAAATTTCCCCATAAGATCAACATTGAGCCTAACCAATGAAATTGATTCAGTTCTCATCTGTTTTGGTCTGCGGCCAGAATCGTGGAAAGAGCTAAGTTCATGGACTGACCTACCACTGTATCACAATCCTTACTTTTTAATCCCCTTCTTAATTTTAACTCATGTAGGCACCAAGCTAGGTCCATTTCCTTTTCTCTGGTCCATTCTACACCCACATGAACACCATATTCTATATGTCCCCCAAAATGAGCTATGATGAAAAGAAATTAGAATATACATTAAGAAAATTGACACAAGAGAAGACTTTTTTTTTAGAATTTTTTGAAGATTTGCTTTCCTTGAAAAGAAAGTCAAACCATAAAATGAAATGCACTCGGTTGTTAAAAAATAAAAACCTCACATGTCTAAAATGTAGTTTTTTTCCAAGATAAATGAACATTTTGCTCTGTCTGCTTTCCCTAATATGCACATTTCATTTAACCCAGATCCTCATTGTGGGAAGGATTTACATATCCGTCTCCCATTGCCCGGGGTTTTCTTGGGCAGTGAGGTATGTGCGGGTAGTTTCAGAAGCCCTGGCTGTTGTTCATTTCTCCAAAAGCAACAGATCTTTAAAAATGCCATTTTCCAGGCACTCAGCCCCTAACACTGCCTGGTAGGGATAGATGAATTTGAATCGTCGGCCCATAGAATGTCTCAGAGCCTTGAGAAATGTCGCCTGTCCCCTCCGCTGCCGGCTGGTGTCTTGCCACCTGCTGCAGGAGCAGCTGAAGAATGGCGGTATCCGGGCTGTGTTTAACCTGTGTCACATCTTGTACATGCTGACAGCCTGGTCCGTCCTACCGAGCCCCGCATCTGCTGATGGCCATGGACTTACTCTCATGGAGCTGGTCTCCGCGCTGTGGCTATGTGTAGAGCAGCCCTGCACCGTGTGGGGAGATGTGTAAGACATTCACACGGTGGCTGTGATTCTCCAGTCCCACAAGCCACACCTTCGCCACCTGCTTTGCACTTGACCTTCCTGGACTGGGTACAGCATCTCCTGTGTGTGGTCCCTTTCAGTTGGGTGTCCGTCCTGCCTCTTCCACCAGGGCACGCCCAGCGGGAAACCGCCTCTCCCTACAGGCCCCTCACGGGTATTTTCCTCAGTATCAGCCAGTCAGAGACAGGAAGTCACAGAGCCACTGTGGCTTGAAGCCAAAAAGAAGATGAGAAATTTGTAGTCTGGCCATCCACATTTCAGACAAGGAATTTGGACCCAAAAATGTGTCAGTGGCAGGTAGAACCCAGGAGCGCACATGCTAAGCACACACTTTATTACTGAGCTACTTCCCCAGCCCGAGAGTTCACAATTTTTTTCTAGTACTGAGGATTGAACCCAGGGTTTTGCACTCAGCTACATCCCTAGCCCTGTTTATTTTAAGGCAGAGTCTCGCTAAGTTGCTAAGTTGCCTGGGTTGGGCTTGAACTTGTGACCCACCTGCCTTATTCCCAGAATGCTGGGATTATACTGTATGTCACCACACACAAGTAGAATCCACCCTTGTATGGAACAATTGTAGTTGATAGATTTAATCAAAGTTTTTGATTTCTATTTTTTTTTTTTTTTGGTATCAGGAATCAAACATGGGACCTTGTGCTTGTGAGGCAGGTGCTGGAACCACTGAGCTAAATCCCCAGCCCTCTATTATATTTGTTAGATGACCTTCAGCCCCTCTAGATCTATGAGTTACGTGTTCCAACATCCTAACGGAACCTTTTAAATAAAGCCAACTTTAGAATGGCTCAGTGGACAGATGGCTGGCATTATGGTACTTAGTGTCATAACTTGTGCCACCTCTTTTTAGTCCTTACCACATAGTAATGGGCAAGACTGTCACCCTCCAGACGCCCCAGTTGGTTGTGTAGAATGGTAACATTCAGCTCAGAGTGAGTCATGGCAACATGGCCCTCCAGGTTGCAAAGTTTCCTTTCTTCCTATGATAATCTCTTAAAATGAACTGGAAGGGTCTTGAAGTGTATACTAAGCATATGTTCGGTTTATGCTTTCCACCCACCCATCTGTTAGGGACACAGAAGATGGATAAGATTCATCCACAGAAGGCTGTCTGGTGGGTTTCTATGTGAGAAACCATTTACTGTGTAGGGTTAGGGTAGATAGGTGTTGGTATTTACCTCTGGGCATTACCTGAGTTAGTCCTTTCTGCTGTCTACTAAATCATTCTACTTCTGTGTCACGTGTGCTGTAGAATGTGTGGCCCCTTCGCAGAGCTTGTATTTGTAGCACACACTGCAGTTTTCCATGATTTGGTTGACAACCCTACCCGGCAGAGTGCAGACCCACACCCTGCATGTGCAGACACTCAGCTCCTGCCCCATCTTGTCTTCCAGGCTCTGTGGCTACCCTCCTTTTTATGATGAAAACGACTCCAAGCTCTTTGAACAGATCCTCAAGGCAGAATATGAATTTGACTCCCCCTACTGGGATGATATCTCCGACTCAGGTAGGTTTTCCCCAGGGGGTCCTGGGGCTCAGAAAAAGACATATACCACCATCTGGGGACTTAAGCAACGAGCATATATTTCCCATGGTTCGGGGGGCTGGAAGTGCAGGCTCAAGGCCACTGGCACATTTGGTGTCTGGGGAAGGCCCACCTTCTCGTTCCTGGGTGTCAGAGTCCTCACGTGGCGGGAGGCGAGCAGAGCTCTCTGGGGTCTCTTTTATACAGACAGCGATCTCTGTCAAAAGAGCTCTGCCCTCACCAGTCACCTCCCAGTGCTGCCACCTCGGGGTTTAGGACTTCATCCTAGGAATTGTGGAGGCTCAAACACCCAGCCCGTAGCAGCTCCAGGGAGAGCGACATGAGCCTGGCTGGGAGGACAGGCTTGGGAGATCTCAGCCGAACCTGGCCAAGGGGTGGGAACCCGCCCGTTTGTATCCCCCAGCCATACCCTGATCTGGGTACTCTGGGAACGAAGCATTCTTAGCTGACATTTACCAAGCATGTGCTGTGAGCAGCATCCTGTGAGCCCTCTGCGTGTGCTAACTCACTCGGTGCTCAGGAAGGCCTAGCAAGTAGGTGTTACTGTCATTCCATTCCCGTGTGACACATGAGGAAACTGAGGTTGAGTGACTGGACCAGAACCACTCAGCTAGCATGTGGCAGAGCTGGGATTTGAGCTCCAGGTCTCAGTCCAGCCCCCACCCCGTAGCCAGGATGCCACGCTGAGATGTTCCCCAGGAAGTTTATCATCCTTCCTGAGGGAAGAAAGATCAGTACCCAGGCTCCGGTGTCTCTGGGCATCCGCTTCCTCAGGGAAGAAACCCCTCACCTCCCCGGGTAGAAGCAGCCAGGTGAGGCGACGTTGTGAGTAGGACCGTGGCTCGTAGACTCAGGGGAGCTGTTGAGAGGCAGTACTTCATTGTTTATGTCATTTCCTCCTCACCGGAAACACAGGGCCCACTTCCTCGGTCCCCCGGCCCTGGCCCAGAATATATTCTGCATGGCTTGTGGAGAGGAGCCCCAGGGAGATACTGCGCTTCTGAGCTTGCGAGGGTAGAGCTTTCCCACAGGAGCCCAGTTCTGTGGGGAGTGGGCTGGAGATACCCTGAAATGTGACTTGCTTTGAGCTAGCCAGGCTGTCACCTGTCCACTCTGTGGCCCTGTCCCTCATGCTCCTGATGTCTCGCCCCTGTCCACTGTGTCCTGACAAGAACTCTGCAACCCCACAAGACAGCGTCTTGCAGCATTGCAGCTTCCGGTCCCTGCCCTCATGGCACAGTAGGGCCCTGGAGAGCTGGTCTCGTCTTTTTAGTGGTACGCGTGATACTCCTGAAGACCCAGCGCATCTCAAGCCACACAGTGATTCTTCCCCTGTGCCTTTCTGAACAGCAAAAGACTTCATCCGGAATCTGATGGAGAAAGACCCAACTAAAAGATACACCTGTGAGCAGGCGGCTCGGCACCCATGGTAAGAAAAGTCACCCCGGGAAGCCACGCCATCGTGCACCCCCAGGCCACTTCCTGCTAGCTCTTGTCACCTATGGAATCCACCCCGCTGTCGGTTTCACCTCTTCCTGGCCAGGGCCTTTTCTCCTCACCACAGCCAGTACTGGAACAGTCTTGTACCTTAGGACATGATCTTCTGAATGCACTTGTGTGACATTAAGTGGGCAGATTTTCAGTTTTCAGAAAGCTTTTCAGGATCATCTTTATTGAAAGTAATCTCCCAGCGAGACGTTAAGATTAGAGTTTTATTCCCTGAGTTTATTACTCAGTATTAAAGTTATGTGTATTTTCCCTTTTCAGATGTTTTTCCAATTAGGGTTTCTCCAGCTCGACGGGAACTAACTGGTGCTTTCTGCACATTGTTAGCATGAGCTTGGGGCCACCTCGGATTTATGTCTCTCACCAAGTTAGAACCAGGCTTCCTGGCAACTAGCTGTGTTATACCTCATTTTTCTTAGTCTCAGTTTTCTAGTCATTGAATGAGAATGACCATACCTAATATATAGAGTGGATATAAGAAATAATGGAGACAATGCAGGTAAGGGATTAATACGATGTCTGGTGCAGAGCAGATAGTTAGTTGTAGCTCTTATTAAAGCCCCATGAGCATCCAATTTGAAATCCAAGAATAATAAAGATCCAATGTGTTAGTAGCTTTTCATAACTATAACAAAATATGCGAGATAATCAACTTTCAAACAGAAAAGACATCTTTAGGCTCACAGTTTCAGAGGTTCCAGTCCATGGTCAGTTGGTCCTGTTGATTTGGGCCTGTGGTGAGGCAGCACATCACAGCAGGGAGTGTGTGGTGGAGCCACCTGCCCACTTTATTGTGGGCAGGAAGTGAGAGAAAAAGAAACTGATATCCCACAGTCCCATTTGAAGACACTGAGACCTCCCTGTGGCCCCTCTAAAAGTTTCTATCACCTCCAGTCACTCCAAGCTGGGGACTAAGCCTTTAACGCATGGGCCCTGGGGGAGGTTAAGATCCAAACCGTAGCACACAACATAACAAAAATAGGGAGCTAGGGTTGTAACTCTGTGGAATAGTGCCTGCATAGCGTTCTAAGGCTCTGGCTTCAGCCTCCAGTGGTGTGAGGGAAGGAAAAATGAGTTCAGGAGACAAGCCCCCCTAAGAAGCATTACAGAACACTGCCCCTTCTTCAGCCCCAGGGTCTCCAATGCTGTTAGCCTTCCAAGGAGAGCCGCCCCGAGGTCGTGTCGCCGTATTTTAATTCATGACACCTGCTGTGTGTTGAGTCTGTTCTGTTCCTGGAACTGTGCTGATTGCTTTAAAGTGTTGACTCCTTTTTTGTTCAGAATAACTCTGTGAAGTACGTTTTACCCTCATTGCAGACAACTAAAGTAACTTAGCTAACACCACTCAACTAGCTAACGGCAAAGCCAGGATTCCCGCCAGAGCTGTCTTGTTCCACAGAGCTGCTCTTCTTTGCCATGCTTAAAGGAAAAGGGAGAGAAAGAAAAGGGGAGAGGAAGGGATTTCCTGAAAAGGTGGACGGTTTGGGTTGTGTGTCATCTTTGTATTTTTTAGCAAGTCACTTTGGACAGCAGGCCCAAGTATGTGGTGATAAGATTGTAAAGGTTTTCTTACTCCATACCCGTAGCCTTTAAACCTGTAAGGCTTTGAGAACGTTGGAGGAGGAAAGGATCTCAAAAAGAAGGGCAGTGATTTGCCTCCTAGTGCTGCTCATCGCCTTGGCAGCCGGCAAGGAAAGCGGCTAAATCCTGGTCTCTCCTTCACCACCCATTTCCGCAAATCCAAACCGAAGTCTCTGTGGGGCCTGGGAGAGGGGTGGGACAGCCCCACAGGGTGCTATGCCGCTGCAGCACAGGGTTTGCACCAGCCAGCAGCCGGGAGGGAGCTCGGGACAGACAGGCAGCCTGAGCCGAGCCGGGCCGGGCCGGGGCTGGACACTGCGCATGCGTTCTCGGGGCCACTAGTCCTCCGTGTGGTGGGGGAAGAGTGGAGGGCGGGACAGGCAGGAGAGGAGGGGAGAAAGCAGGCGGGGCCAGCGGGTGGGGCGTGGCTTTACCTCTGACTGCCTCTGTGGGGAAACTCCTGCGCACCTCGGGCCTCCTCTGCAGAATCCGGGTCATAAATAACAGTGCGTCTTTTGGAGGGCTTTTCAAGGCCTTGAATGAGATCATGCATTCAATGAGAAGAAGACGACACCTGCTGTGTCTGTTACCTCTGAGTTGCCCGTGCTTTATTTTGCCCGAGGAATGTGCGCTTTGGGCGGCCGCGCCCTGGTGGGCAGCAAGCAGCTGGGCAGATGTGACTGTAGAAAGCCCCACTGGCTGCAGGATTACGGGTGGGTGAGGGAGCAGGGCAGGAAGACAGCCCAGAGCAGGGACCCCCGGGGGACACGCAGGGGTGCAGAAGCCCCAGGCACTGGGCGCAGCACTGGTGGGGTGGGCCGACCAAGGGCCCGGCTGTGTCTTCCCAAGCTTCCAGTTTAAGGGGCTGGGAGGCTGACGCGGGAAAAGAAGCCAGCTGGGGTGAGGAGTGAGTCCATCCTTGGGTGTGCTGGGAGCCCTCCAGGTGGAGAGCACTGGAAACCTGGAGCTGGGGAGAGGGGTCAGCCGTGCACAGAGATGCCAGAGTCATCAGCTCCTCTCTCACGCATGGCAAGACGTACAGGCCCGGGCTGCATCTGCAGATGCCTCCTAATCCAGAGGGTTCCCTTAGTGCTCCAGCATAGTTACTGTGCACTTCCAGATGGGAACCACAAATGCACTGATGCCGGCGTACGGCTGCCCCCACTTGCCTCACTGATGTCAGAGCAGAGGCGCCTATGGCTTCTGGGGGAGCTTCGGAAAGTGGAGCAGACTCCAGCAGCATGGGCCCAGTCAGCACCACTGCTCAAGGAGCTGTGGCCCTGAGCGTGCAGGACACCAGAGGGGCGTCCCAAGCCGCCCAGGGTGAGGAGAGGCCGGGCCCCTGTCCTCAGGGCAGGGCTCTTAGAGGGGAGAGGCTGTCCTCACGGCATTCCTCGGGGAACACAGTGAGCACTTCCACCGGCTCTCTGTCCGCTCACTGGGGACGCCTTCTGCTTGGTGGCGGCTTGTGAGGAACCAGTGGGCTGCCAACTGCTGACCAGAGACGGGAGGCAAGTGGCAGGGTGAGAATGCACATGCACCCCATCACAGGACGGCGCCTCGCCCAAGCTCACCCGTCCCGGGCTGATTGGTCTGTCCTTCCATCTCCATCTCCGGCTCCATCGATAACCCTTGAAGAACACAAGCGAGATAACTTTTTCAAAATGAAGGCATTAGCTCAGGTGACTGTGGGACCAGGCGAATCAGGGTAACAGGCAGGGAAGAGCTGGTACTGCAGCTGGCGTCTGAAGACAGCTGGAGCCAGAATCCCCTCTTCTGTTTCCCTAAGGCCTTAACTGGTGGACAGTGCCACTCACGTAATCTGTATTGCTAACATCTACTGACTGAAATTAGGGCCATCTGAAAAATACTTTCACAGCAGTACCCAAACTAGCATTTGGCCAAATAGCTGGGTGCCATGTCCTAGCCAAGTTGACGCTCCTGAGGGATGCCTGAGACTCCCCCCCACACTGCAGGACTCCCACCACGAGAGCTCTGATTGGCTCTAGAAATCACGATGCAGCCCAGGAGTCTGCCAGAGCACCAGCCATCACCAAGCCTGCCTTGAGCAAGAGGCTAGAAAAATGCAGAACCAGAGCCATGGAGGTAGAGTAGACCTCAGGCAAAACAAAAAGGTAGCTGGGTGTGTTGGCACACGCCTATAATCCCAGCACTCTGGGAAGCTGAGTCAAGAGGATCCTGAGTTTGGGCCAGCCTGGGCAATTTAGCACCTTAGTAAGTCCTTGTCTCAAAATAAAAAATGAATAAGGGCTGGGGATATTGTTTCATGCAAAGGCCTTGGGTTCAGTACCACAGAAACAAAATAAAACATAAATGCCTAAAGCAAGAAGAGAGGTCTTTGAGGATCTGTGAGTGGAGAAGCATAGCAAAGCAGGCTGCAGAGGTGTGGTTGTGTGAATGCCATCGTTACAGTAGGGGCTAAACCCAGAGAGGCCAGACTTATGAAGCTAGCTGTCCATTTACAGGTTCATAAAGAAAATTTTCTGTGTCGGCAGCATTGGTCAATTCTGGGCAGTCTGGGTGACCAAGGGCCTCCCGTTTGGCTGGTGGACACTGCTCAAGTTAGTTTTGCTTATGCTGCGGCTGTGAACCTGCTGGCCTGTCATGACAGCAGCAGCCATTTTTATCACAGCCCATGGAGAAGGACGGTGCTGTGTCACCGAGGGCCACCTGCTGCCCAGCATGCTCCAACCCCACTGCAGCCGGCTTAGGACTCTGGGGAGGAAGCCGGAAATATTCGTCACATAGCTCCGAGTTGCATTTTCCTTAAATCTGAGCCACATAACACACAGCGGAGGGGTGGGGAGCAGAGTCCAGGCTCCAGGTCTGGAGACCACACTGCTGACAGGCAGGTGGAAAGTGAGTCCCAAGTCCCCGACCCCCCTTTCCCCAGCCTGTTTGGTTTGATTTTTGGTTTTGTTCTTGTTTTTGTTTTTTTTTTTGGTACCGGGAATGGAACTCGGGACCTTGCACTTGCCAGGCAGGTGGCGGAACTACTGAGCTAAAGCCCCGGCCCAGCCTCTTTGGTTTGGAGCCCAGCTCTGGCCTGCAGCAGTGCTCAGCCTGAGGAATTCCACACTTCCTACCACTTTGGCCTAGCCGTTTCCAAGACTGAGCCGGCCACTGACAGTGGGAGCTGGAGTCCTTCCCTGATGATGCAGCTTTTGAGAATGGTCCAAGAGCAAGCGCTCCCCTGAGCTGGCTACGAGACATCCCGAACCGCCTCGCTCCTCTGCTTCAGACTCGCCCTTTCGGATGTGCTGATTCTGTTTCCGATGTGTGTCTGGGGAGAGGGTCGATCAGCGGTGGATCTCAGTGACTTCAGTGGATCATCTTGGCTGTGCCCAGCCCTGCTAGGAAGAGCGGGGAGGACATCTCCAGGGAGGCTGCTGGTAGTGGGAATATCAGACTGGATTCGAAACCCAGGCCAGCCCGGCACACTCAGTATCCAGTCTCTCGACGGTGGTTTCAAGGTTGCATTTCTCAAATGAAGGAAAGACCCAGTAGGGTGCTCTCTTGTCTGAAGAAGCCCTGAGCTTGTTCCTTATGTGGCCCAAAGCAGTTGGAAGTCACAGTCTGCGACATCTGGCCTGCATTGTCTCCAGGCCCGTTGTGGTCTGGGAGGTGGAAGGTTCCCTCCCATTCCACTCCTTTCCCGCCAGGAAGGGTGGCCCATGGCTCTGCCTGCCACACACCTTTTCCTTCCTTAGGTTCTGGATACCAACCTAGAGCTGAGTAGTTTTGTGTGAAGCTGGGACAGGAGGGTGGAAGGCACAAAGCCCAGGGCAGGCTGAGAGCAGAACACGGTTTGCTCTGACGGGGAGGGCCACGTGGTCAGAACAGGGAGAGATGACACCACGGGTGGCATGGACGTGGGACAGAAGGGTGGGCTTCATGTGGCCTCTGGCGACCCTAAGATTAGAGCGTGAGCAGGAAAGAGGGGGAGGCTCAAGACTAAAGGAGAGCGACACCGAGGGAGGTGGAGCAGGGCTCGGGGGCTCGGGGGGAAGTGGTGAGCTAGGACTGCCATAGAGATGGCCTGGGTGTTGTGGACCAGCTGAGTGCAGCACAGATGTGACCCTGGACATTCTGGGGACTTTCTGGGAAATGCAGGGGTAGAAGATCCAGGAAGCAGGGCTGAGCTGAGGCTGGGAATCTTCTCACGGGATGCGGAGAAGTGTGGGCCCAGGGCTGGTGGCATTGCTGTGCAGAATGTCCTGGCAGAGCCCCGCTCTGCTGAGGGAGCTGAGAGCCCCCGGTGTGAGGCCCTGGAGCAAAACTCCTGGGAGGCAAAGAGTAGGCCCCTGGAACAAGGAAGCCAGCAGCCAGGCCCTGGGCAGCCAGGGGGGAGGTGGGAGAGCTCAGGGAGAACACTCAGGCTTCACACAGTGTTGAGTAGAGGGGACTGGGGGGGCGCAGGAGGGAGATGAATCCAGGCCGTCTTGTCATTGTGGACTCTGGCACTGCAGAATTGGGGCCAAAAGAGGAAAATGAGGTGGGTGTGGCGGATGGAGGGACAGGTGCAGAGCAGGGATGGTGGGATAGGACTTCGAGGCGGCGCTGGTAGCACGCGTGGATTCGGGGGGCCACCTGGGGCTGGCACTCACCCTGTGGCCAGCCTCAGTTTTCCCGAGGACAGGATGGGGCTCCCTGGGGGCAGCCCGGGGCCCAGTGGCTGGATACCAAGGAAGTCTCTTGGCTTTTGTTTCAGGATCGCTGGTGACACAGCCCTCAACAAAAACATCCACGAGTCTGTCAGCGCCCAGATCCGCAAGAACTTCGCAAAGAGCAAATGGAGAGTAAGCCCCGTGTTCACTGACCCTCAGCACGCTCCTGAAACTCGCTCTGCTGCTTGAGCTTGCCTCTTCCTAAGGGCCACTGTCACCCGAGAGTGGACGGAAACCCCCAGAGCCTCACTGACGCCGCTCATTGAACTGAAAACGATTTGGGCGAGGAAGCCGTGTCGTGGTGGAAGAGGGATGAAGTGCATGATCAGATGTTTCCCCTCTGCGACGGAGGGGTCACAGTCATGCTGGCCCTTAACTCCCTCGCTCTTTCTTATGCACTCTACGTCCCTTCATCCCGTCAGCTTTTATTAAAGTGATAATGGAGAGGGGAAAGAGAACAGAAAATCTGTGTTTAAGTCATCAGTATTTTCTGGTAAAGCTTTGATAGATTTAAACACAGAATTTCTGTGATCATCTCTAGAGACAACACAGAAACAAAATTAATTCCACCGACCTACTTGATTCATCAGAAATGCAATACTTAGGACAAAAGTACGATTTGTAGGAAAGCAGATGCTATTTTAAAACCACATTTTACAATGTTAAACTATTATAACACCTTTTATTTTAAAGGCCAGTTCTCTTAAATTATGGAGAGAATGTTTCATAGTTGCTGTATGTATTTATGGCGTCAGAAGAAAACTATTTTTTAAATCTCCAAAATATGTTCTGGTGGGGAGGGGGTCTAAGTGAATTCACTCACCTTTGGAAGAAAGGACAGTGTAAGTTGCCTTCCTAAAGCATCCTGAGAATGTTTGAAGATGTTTGCCATGCTTAGGGGAAACAGAGAAGTTGAAAGAAGCGATCAGAGTCTTTCCGGACTAGCTGGATATTTTGTCCGGTTAACTCTCTTTTTCCTTGTCAAATTTCAGCAAGCCTTTAATGCCACGGCCGTCGTGAGGCATATGAGGAGGCTGCATCTGGGCAGCAGCCTGGACAGCTCAAGTGCCAGCGTCTCGGGCAGCCTCAGCCTGGCCAGCCAAAAAGATTGTGCGTATGTAGTGAAACCTGGTTTCTTGAGGGGCTTCTGGGGTCACGCTGGGCGGAGAGGAGGGAGCTGCCCTGGGCCGAGCACCCAACGTGTGCCAGGCACTTTCAGTGCTTTGCCCCATTTCACGGTCCCAACTGCCCTAGGACATTTTTTAATATAATCATTTGATACTCACTAGGGATAGGTATCATCGTTTGCGTTTCGCAGTGAGAAATCCGTGGCTGAGCTGCACACAGCCAGGCATGTCTGGATCCGGCCTTTCTCCTTCCCCTCCCGAGGACACAGTGCTGTCACTCCGTGGGTGGAGGAAGAGGCCTGAGACTCCTGGAAGTCTGATCTCAGGGCAGTGATTTGAGCTCTTTAGATGATGAACATCTGCAGTAGAATAATAGTCGTGGCATTTTGTCGTGGAATAGAACTTCCTTCTTCTCTCCCCCTCTGCCCTCTGCATTTATCCCTGGCTCATCCTCAGCCGGACAGTGGCTCCTCCCTGCCTTGGAGCAGTTGCCTGAGCCCCATGGGCCCTCCCCTGCCTGGCACTGAGCAGCCCTCCAGCCTGGCCTGCTGTGGGCATCACGCGCCTGCCCATCTGGCTCAGATCGTGCTCTCTTCCTCTCTCGACCTTATCCTGCCTCATTTGGGACCGACTAGCACCTGTATTTCCCATGACTTCTCCACGTGCTTCCCCGACAGAGTTCCCCCCCCCAGCCATATTCACGCACCCCTGGGTTCTTCCCTCTGGTCAAGGGGAACCCCACAGGGGCCCACCCTCCCGGCCTCCCTCCCGGCCTCCCTCCCTTCCTGCTGTCGTTTTTGGAGGTCTGAGGATTGAGTCCAGGGCCTTTGCACTGAGCTGCAACCCCAGCTCTTTTTCTATATTTTATTTTATTTTGAGACAGGCTTTCACTAAATCGCCTGGTTGCCTAGGCCAGGCTTCAACATACGATCTTCCTGCCTCAGCTGCCCAGAGTGCTGGGACCACAGGCGTGTGCTACCATGCTCAGCCCTGATCATTGTTTTAGCGCTGTACACCAGCGAAGCCCATCTTAATAGTTGATTTTATGATGCGCCCATGTCCCGGGTACAAAGCTCCCTGGGCATGTGTGCCATCAGAGCTGAGCAGCCGCCACTGCATCCTGCGCCAGGGCCTTCTCGGGCGACACCTCTGCCTGGTGAGGCTTCAGTGCTGCCCTAGAGGAATTCTTTCAGGTCATGGGGCTGCTGAGTTCACACAGAAACAGGCAGATGGCCTCATTTCAAGGTGCCCTGTGTCAGAAAATGCTTCTTGCCAAGAGTACAGAGTACACACCACTCATTCCTAAAATACCTCCTTCTGTGGGACTGTTGCAAAAGTGAACAGTTCTCCAATGACAGTGTGTATCGATACCTAGCCCTGTACCTGGGACACAGTGCTTGCTAAATGGGGCTATCATGGTGGCTGAAACATGTTTCCAAGGCAGTTATATCGAAGAAGAGAGAGGTGAGCTGTGTCTAAGACTAAAACAAATGTAGTCTGGGGCTGGGGTGTCACTCAGCTAGACTCCCGCCACCGAAACAAATGAATTCAGATGCATAAAAGCTCAGTGCCCCACAAACCCAGCCCACCTGGCCCCCACAGTAGGGAGGGAGAGCATGGATTTGCTTCTGGCGCTCTGAACCCCATGTGTCCCCTGTCCCCCTGCAGGCCTGGCACCTTCCACGCTCTGTAGCTTCATTTCCTCTTCATCGGGGGTCTCAGGAGTTGGAGCCGAGCGGAGACCCAGGCCCACCACTGTGACCACAGTGCACACTGGAAGCGAGTGACCGGCTCGGAGGCGGACGGGGTGGGTCCAGAAGGGGCCCAGGCCACCGGGCGGGCGGTGAAGCTCCCTCGAGACCCCGCCCCGCCTGCATGGTGCACCTTTCTGCACAGGACTGGAAGACAGAAGTTCTTTATGGCCATATTTTATACTGCAATTCTGAAACGTTCATTTCTCACAAGCTGTACTGAACTCAAGGGGAGCTGAATGAATAGGATCTGGTGCTGTAAATAGGAGTCTTGTGGAGCTCTCGTGGAATGACCTTCTGTTCCTCTCTCCCGGCTCTGTTGTTTCCACTCTTCTCAGTGTAGACAGCCGTCTAGGTTGTATTTTTTTCATGGGAAAAAAAAAGATTTCAACTGGATTATTTGAATATCGGTGAATATTGTGCATTAGCGGTTTTTTCCTTTGAAGAAGTATGTCTTTTGGATCTGTATCTCAGTTACATGACCTTTATTATTTGCTCTTCAATAGTAGTTTTATGTTAACCTTTAAGAGATTTTTTTTTTTCCTCCAAGGAGAATTTAAAGGCATTTTTTAAAATTCTAATAAGAGGATGAAGACTGTCTCCCAGGCTGAGTGTACTTTACTTCTGTTCTTCCCTTCCTCTCCCCTCCCTCGGGAGGGTCAGCTCTGAGGAAGGCACCTGGGCAGCTCTGGGGGAGTCTTCTCTCCAGCTCTGGGGCAGTGTGCAGAAAACCCTTCCCCGAAGCTGCTCCAGCGAGCCCCAGGCCACCGCAGCGGAAATGAAGACGCCTGCTCCCCGAGACCCAAGGCTGGTCCTCACCGTGAACCTGGCTCTGTGAACAGGATACCCACAAAGCCAGGATTCAGAGTGTCCCTCCCCCTGGGGACCAGCTGCCGTCCGTGTACGCACCTGCACGCAGCCCTCATTTCTCTGAGGGATAACAGATGAAACTCTGACCTCAGCTATGCAGTTGTAAAATGAATCTCTTTCTCTGTTTTTTTAAAACGCAGTTCTAATCTTATACTTAAAACGGCCTCCAGAACACATGTTTCTGCACATTTTTACCCCGCCTTGAAGAAACCATTTCTCTGGGGGGATGAGAAGAGGTGAGCACCATGTGTGCAGAGCACCGGCCGAGGCAGAAATGGCCTCCGACTGGTGCATGAAGCCGTCATTGACATTGGGGGACCGTAAGGCAAAGGCCTGTGGTAGCAGGGTCACCAAGTAGCCCCATGTGCCCGGCGCTGAACGATTTCCCAGACTGTGGGGTGACCTGCAGCCCGAGGAAGAGCAGCCGCATCCTTCAGCGCTTGGGCTGGGTGTGCAGTGCAGCCCCGCCAGCCCTGGAGGAGGCTGTCCCGCAGAGCCGGGCAGGTGATGCCCCGATCCCTCGCACCTGCCCAGCGTGCTGCGCTCTGCTCCACACAGCCTCGTGGACCCCGACCCCCTGGGGTCCCTGCTGGTACAGCGCCTGCCATGGCAGGTTACCAGTGCTAGAAGGTCCTGTTGGGCAAAGCGTTGTCACTTCCACACTTTGCCTATTTTAGCGATGCCTCTGACCCTCCACAGCGCACACACACACATGCACACACAGTGTTCAGACTCAGCAGCCCCAGCTAAGGACACAGCGCCGGAGGTGTAAGAACAGTACAGGCAGCTGACACTTGTTCCCACCTGGCTCACAGGCAGGAATCCCGCTTGGCTTCTGTCACACAGGTATCCGTGGTAAAAATTCAAGCCATCCGTCTTAAAAATCTGCAGAAAGCCAGGAAATGTCCATGCAAGGACAACAGAGCCAGTGAAGAAGCAGGTGTCACCTACATTGGAGACACGTCACCCGAATATTCCCGTAGGGTGGACAATGACCTAAGTGTCATAAACATACTTGAGGAAGCTAAGGAGCCCGTGTAGGGTTGTGAGCATGTGGCTTACCAGCTGGTGTCATGGGAATATTCGGGTCCATATAGTATGAGGAGGACAACAGAAGGTGACCGGGAACCGTGTACCTGAGTCGTTAGCAGGTCTTGGCGCTGTGTGGCCTGTGCAGCGATTTGCAGCTAGAAAACGGTGTTTGAAGCCAAATGCTCTTAGTGGTGGTGGAGACACTGTCTGGCGCTGACGCGGGCGGAGCGTGTTATATGCGGTTCCTTTGAAAGTGTCTTGTCCCGGAAAGTGTAGAACGGGTGGCGAGTGCCCCTGGTGGCGGTGCCCACCGTGCCCGCTGGCCTTCAGGGTGAAGGAGGAAGCTCTTTTCCAACCACGCTGGGTGTCGTTCATGTCTCCTTAGCGCAGAATGGGCCTTTCCTGGAGCGTGGATACACGGGGAGGCCGCATGCTGGACCTCTGGCTGATGCCACATCCACCGGTATCAGCCAAGCATCTCCTCCAGGCCCCTGGGGCGACGGCTGAGGCTGAGGACGGCGCCCAGGCCCCCCGTGGTCTCTGTCTTCTCAGAGCAAGTGGGTTTTTGTCCTCATGGCAATAACAGTGGGCTTTCCTTTTGCTGCCTGTCTGTTCTTCCGTTGCTCCCCGATCTTCAGTTCCTAAGTGAGGCAGGAAGAGCTGCTCGTGTTGATCTAACCAACCATGCTCGGGCCCTGACAGGCCTTCCCCTTGCCACTCTGACCCAGGGGATGCCCGCAGGCTGGGCTGCTCTCCTGTAGGCACTGGGATCTGGAGCCTCAGACCGGGCTGGGGCAAAGGTGGCTGGAGCTGGGAAGCACAGGGCATGCCCAGGTGACAGACACAAAACCCCAGAGCAAAGAGGAGCCCACCACTCCCCACAGCACCTGGCCCTATGGAGAACAGAGAATGTAGTCCACCCCCGTCATATCTCCTCTTGAAAGGATGGCGTAGCTGGCATGCAAAGAAAAGGGCAGCTGTGGCCTAGTGTTCTTGAGCTTGATCCTTGTCACTTCTCAAATCTCACCTGTGGACAGTGGGGGCAGCGCCTGGGACACATGAGCTTGTGACTGAGAGGGCCCCACTGTCGGGCTTGCTCTTAGCACAGTCCAGGGACCTGGCCACCCAGGCCTAGGCTTCTTTCTGAAAAACAGGCAAAGCTTTAGCTTTTAGAAAACATCAGCTATGTGATAAAAGGAATCCAGCCCCAGACTCAGTTTCCTGCCCGGCCTTAACCTCATGCTGAGTTTGTCCCCGTTAGTGTCCACTGTGGCCTGGGTGGGCTGTCGGTGGGGGAAGGAACTCCCCTTTGGACAAAGGCCAAGGGACAGGGAGCCCAGTTGGCCCTTGTGGAACGACACTTAGCCCCATCAACCCCCTGGCTCTCATTTTATGAGCAGTTTTAAAGACAAAGTGAAGACCCTATCCCGGTGGGGCTGCACAAGGTGTGTCAGAGCTCTGGACCCCCCAGCCCTCTCCGATCCTGGGTCAGAAGTGATCTTCACCCCGGGGATCCACGGTGGAGTCACTGAGGCAGAGCCAAGGACAGGGCTCCCAGGCGAGGGCCTGTTCTGCCCACAGCTCTCTCGCCTTCCACAGTCCCGAGTGCCTGCTGATCGGTCTCCTTTGGCAACAAGGGAGGAAGGCGAGGGAGGCAAAGGGCAGCTCCTCCTATTTTCCATAACAAATCAGAGGGTCTCCCAGGTCTGCAGTCCTCCCCTTCCGCCAGTGCACGAGCCCCTCGCATGCCCATCTCCTCTCCCCCACAGGGTTTGCCTTGTCCTGAAACATTCCAGACCAAACACTGTTCAGTTTGTTTCCAAAAGAAAAACAATGTACATACCTGTGTGGGATCCGGCACTCTTCTGGGGGCACCAGACCTGTGTTGGGGCTGCAAGTGCACTGGACCTTTGTCAGAGGCATTCCGAGCCTTTGGTTTTCAGAACTGAAAAAGGTTAAGATGAGAAAGCCGAACTGGGTAAACAGATTTGTAAAGGAGGGGTTCATTTCCTGGTGGCTCCAAGGACATTCGTGTGCAGACAAGTTCGCCTGAAAACCTCAACTCTTGGGTGGCAGGAATGTGTGAGGAGGAGGACAAGACCTTCAGCCCCTCGCTGGGTCCCATCTTGGTGCACAGGGCCGGCCTGCTGCAAAGTCCGCCCTGCATGCTGGCCACAGCCTGGCCTGCCTCCTGCCCCAGCAGCGGCCCCACCTCCAGAGTCATCCAGAGGGAGTTCACCCTTTCCAGACTTCCCTGCCACCTCCAGCGGGAGCAGCAAAAGCTTGTGGCTTCTGCAAACCTAATGGCTGTGCATTTGGAAGCTGAACACCCAGCATGTGGCTGCCGAGTCTGGTTTTGTGGACAGAGCAAACTGGAATGGCTTTTCGGTGTCTGTATCTGTCTTTCTACACCAAAGGGTCAAACTGTGGCACTCGCCCTCTGTACTAAGGCTGCTTCTGCATTCACCTGTTTCTAACCTTTTTGTCTCCGGGGAACTTCTCATGTGATCTTTATGTCATCTGATGATTTGCTGTATTATTTTACTTACAGGTGATTTTATCTTCATGGGAACAGGAAAAAAGAAAATGAGAGAAGGGTTTGAGGCTTTAGTCATAGAGATAGCACTAGGGATGCAGAAGCCCCAGACATGAGTTAAGCTGATTCTTAGAGGAAAACCTTAGTTTGGAGAGATTAGGGTTCCTGACTCCCCAGAAGCCCCTGTCTTGGGAGACCGGACCCTGGGCAGAGTCGGCAGCCAGGCTGTGAGAAGCAAGGAGAGGCTCAGTTCTGAGGTCTTGCAGCACCGAAGCCTGCTCCTCTCCGTCCAGGGCACCTGGCTGTTCAGGGGTGACGTGCGACAGTGTCCCAATGTCAACAGAAGCCGCAGCATCCCAGCAGCATCTTCACCTGGAGATGTTTCAGAGAACAATATTTACCTTAGTCCCACGCTCAGGTGAGAAGGCGTCAAAGGTACATTCTGCCCAGAATCCACATCGGAACATTTCCCAAATTGGCGTTTGCAGCGACACATAGTCTTCTGGCCCTTCTTCTGACACCCACCCCTGCCGTAAGCATGTTTTCCAAAAGCTTACAGTGGTGAATCCAGGAACGACCCCGGGTTACTATTACCAGGCTTGCAATTGGTTCAATTTTCCCATAAAAACATGCCTGTCCAAAAGAAGAGAAATGTGCATTTATTCCGTGCATGTGATAAACTCTGCAAGAAGTTTAACGCCAGAGGTTTGCGGCACTGCACAACTGTCCATGGGTCTGTGTAGCAATGATTCTCTGCCTTGACAATCATGTATACATATCAAGGTTTCTGTCATAATGATGAGATTGACGACTTCTTGTTTTCCTCCAATAAAGACAGTTAATCACCCTCAGGTATGTGTAGTCCTTTTCTTTTGTGATGAGCAAGGTAGGCGGTATCCTATCATTTCAGTGTTTGCTCCTTTCGGTGAGGTTTGCATTTGAAGGAAAATAGGACACCCTCAGTCCCTTACTTTGTTGTTCTGGTCTTAGGAGACAGACGGACAGGACAGACAGACAGACTGATTGATTCCATATCCTTCATCTGGCCCATTTTAAGATTTAGCAAGAGGAACTGTGCCCAATCCCATTTTCTTACTTCATTACAGAACCTATGTTAAGTCCCCAAAGATCACCAGAATCAGTTTCTTCATCACAGAGCGTGTGTGTATATATGAGTGTGTGCACCTGTGTGTGCAGAGGATTGCAGCTGACAGAAGTAGTAGGGGCTGATTCCCGGGCTGCACCCTGGGGCTCAGGGCAAGATGCTTGTTTTTCCTTCTGGTTTATATGAAGGCACGGTTTGGGGGCTGCTGGCTTGAAAGGGCTCTGAGAACCCGGAGCGTTAGGCCATGGGTCAGCGGTAACTTTTACATTTTTATAAGGCTCCCTCTAAAAGCTCCAGCTGGGAACTCAGAATCAAAGCCCAGGCTCCAGAGGGGTTCGTCTGGCCACCTCTTTAGTCTGGGGATATGAGAAGTGAAGGACACATGAGCTTTCAGGAGGCTGTCACCAAGGGGCCAGTACATAGCAAAGCACTTTATGGATCTCTTGCGGTATCACACTGGTCAAAACTGGTTGGCCTCCCTTGTCTCGCTTCACTGATGAGGAACCCAAGACCCTGGCCTTTCATTCAGACCCATTGGCAGCCATGAAATTAGACCTAGGGGCCCTCAAAATGGTAACGCTCCCTCTGTTTCCCATCCCAGGTCCCATCACTGCCGTCTTTAAACCCAGTCATGAGTTTCCATGCATTCCTTCATGTACGTATCCAACATTTCTGAGCATCAGCTATATTCAAGGGTTTTCATTCGCAGTGAGAAAACCCAAGGAAATCTGACCTGAATCCTCCCTGGCAGAGTTACAAGAAAGAGGGAGCGTTTAAGCCTGGAAGGAAGGGCAGGGTTCGAACAGGAAGAATCTAGTAGGAACAGTGTGGGCCGGCTCTGGAGACTGGGGACAGACTGCAGACAGACTAGTTCATCTTCCTTTGGGTGAGAGCGTGGGATAAGGACAAGCTACCGAGAGAGGGAGGCGGCTGGGGGGCCATGTCCCCAGCAACAGCCACTGTGACCTTGGTGCCTGGCTGACCATTGACAGTGCTAAGTGTGTCCTGCTCGGTATCACTGTTGCCGTCAGCCTGGGCAGGAAGGGGCTGTGAGTGTCCGGGTGAGTTTGACACAGTTCAGTGATGCATCCAGGTCATCCGTAAGGACCAGCCGTTTCTGACTTAGCTCGCACTGACACCAACAACCTTCTGCTGTCCTGCCTCTCATGATGTCTCGCAGTCACTGAGTTCCAAACCATGACACTTGGACACAGGCAGGAAACTGGCAGCCACAGTTACTGCGTTGAGGGGCGTGATCGAGTCAGATAATGTTGTGGAACATCACCACTACTAGGGCCCGCTGTGTTTCCTGCCTCAGCGCTGGCTGGCCTTGCATGTAGTCTGATGTGGCCCTGTGGTGAGAACATCGTCGTCATTGTGTATCCAGCCCGTATGTTCTCTGCTCTTCTGTTGTTCTGTTCCTCAGGAGAAATATCACAGAAGCTAGATTTGACCTAAACTCTGAGTTGCAGGCAAGGATAATGCTGTCGAGCTTAAAGTTTTTGTATTTTTACAGTACTCTCCCTGATTAGTAACTCTGGAAAGTTCTGTCCGTGCACATCCCTGACATGTAGGCTGCCTGGGCATCTGCTTTTCTCCTCGTATCGCCCTCAAATGAAAATGATTTATTTTCAGGAAAGTGCCTCAGGTCTCCTGAGAGCTTCCAGCAGCCCCAAGAGGAGCTGCATTTAGCACGAGCTCCTTTTCCTAATGTGGTTGCACCAGGAAACACTTCGTGGGCCAGGAAAAGACAGTTGTTGGGCGACGGGCAAACCCTTCTCTCCAGCCCACGATTTTGCTTCTTGCTCCCTCTCCATGACATACGTGTCTTCTGCTTCAGATTATATTTGCATTCTTCAGCACCTGGACTCTGAGCCCCGTCTCTTGCCGGGTCCGGCTGTTTAAATCAGCACGCAGAGAAAAGCACACTTCAGACCCTGAGCCGCCACCCCAACCTGGCTCTGATCGCACAGAGGAGGGGCGTGAGCGGCCCCTCGTGAGGACCTGCTGCTCCCCCACACAGACCCGCGAAGATGGGGGCTTCTGCATCGCCTAGCAAAGGGCTTTTCACGTGTGCAGAAGCGAAAGCTTCCCCTAAGTCGACAGCGGCATAGGGCGACGCACCTGGGAGGAACTTCACTCGCCAGAGGACAGCCCACTTCCCCAGCCGGGCCTCACACCTCTCTCCTGGGGCTACAGCAGCTGCTTCACGCCAGACACTCCCAGGATGTGGGTGGCCCCTGGTCCTGGCCACGCTTTGAGTAGCAGCAGAGGACTCCAGGGAGTCTCTTCCTTTGGTTCTCTTCCCTGACCGAATATTGAATCACTGTGGGAGAAGTCAGAAAATGCAGAGGCCCACAGATTCCATCAAGATCTTGTAATTGTCAAGCGCAGCCGAGGTGGAGCCAGCGGGACCTGCAGCTGAGTGACCACACACCACCTTGAGTTGAGAGGTGGATTCGACAGATCTGTCTCAAAGGTGCTTTTAACTTTCTCTCTTTTCAGTGCTGGGCATTGAACATAGGGCCTGCACACCAGGCAACATCCTCAGCCCTTTTAATTTTTCAGTTTTGAGACAGGGTCTTATTAAGCCACTCCCTTGAGTCTTGCTCTCTGCCTGGAAGAGCGTGTTGCTAAGTTAGGTAGACTGCTTGCTTCCTGAATAACATGCAAAAAAAAAGTCTTCAGTTGAAACTGAATTTCAAGATTTTTCAGATTTGGATACCAGCCCAAAGAAGGGAAGACCGTGAGGTAAAATTGTTCTACTACTACCTAAAAATGTACCAATAAATATATATATTAAAAAATAAAAAAAAATTTAAAAATTGTTCTACTACTCATGAAGTTTACATTTCCTGCTGCTTCTTTCCAAATCTGGTGTTAAAGTAACAAGCTCGAATGTTAACAAGCATGACTCAGGTTCAGAAAATGCTGGTGACGTGACACTGGTTCTATATAATGGCAGTAAGAGGACTTTTCCACTGGTTGACAAAAGTCAGCAAGACTCATCTCAGGAACATTCATCTCATTCACCATTCTCTAAAAAGGGTTAATTGTGCATCCTAGTGCTGAGCTACTTTTGAGCATGCTCCTAATACATGAATATTTACATATTTGGAAATCATAAACACGTAGTACTATAGCTACTTATATAAATACACACAAAATATATCAAAAGGAAGAAAACTGAACGGACAAGAAGAAAAAAATACTCTTCCATAGAAGGAAGGTTTTATCTGTGTTACATTAAAGTGGCCAGTGTGTTCTGTATTTTTATTATGATTTAAGGGTTTGTAGTACAGAAAATTGAAAGTCTTATCTCAAGTTTCCCTAAATTCTTTTATTTTAAGTGTTGTAACTGAAAGAGTTATGATATAAAAATATGTAGCTCTACATGGAAGAGGTCTATTGTTAGGGATGCTTACAATTAGGGATATGACCACATGCATATTGGAAACTTGCAAGACTGAAAGTAGGAACGTTAGAGCCAGTTCCTTCTTTCTTAGCTCCACCTTTATCCTTCCTGCCCTTGATCTTTTTATCCCTCTAAATCATGCTACATGAACATTATAATCATAATCTAGGTACAAACAGTTCCCCTAAAGACCTTACTTCTCTGAAAAATAAGAGGATAATGTCAAGGTTAATGTTTGTATTTAAAGCTCAACAAAAACTTAAATCTTTTGAAAATGCAAAACTGAATGGAAAATACAGACTAATGTCTTTCTTGGATAAAGCACCCCAGAAAGCCCCAGACCAGCAGAGGAGTCCCCAAACTCCAGAAATTTATTACACCTTTTCATGGAATTCTGTGTACTAATGAGCAGAATTGACTAAGAGAAGATAGTGTAAAAAGCTCTTAAAATGAATTAGTATTTTATTAATCAAAGCAGCATCTACATCTTTGTAGTAGCTGAGGAGTCGTAGTACCTGTCTGAGACATGCTCACCAGTCTCTGGACAAGGCTTAGAATGCTTAGGAATCAGAAAACTCTCTAACCAGTCTGCAGGTCTAGACCACAACTAAGACACTCCTGTATGGCAGGCAAAGTACTTAGGAGTTGATATCCAGACCTCTTAGTGATTGTCTTAAAAACCCAACCTACCATAGGATGGCTGCCTTATGCTAACCTTTATGGTGAAGCAGATATTAACGAAACTGTCAATCTGTTTCTAGTTCCAGTCTGGGTGCTGATTGATGTGGGGACCATGTGGGCCAAAAAGTAAACGGAAGAAAGAAAATGGAGACGCAGTTAAAATGCTTAACCAGAAGCCTAACCACCTCCCCTAGTTCCTAGTACAATATTTCCCAGCTCGCACGTGCATATGAAACACCTGGGCACCTTCGTAAAATGCATTATGGCTCATTCAGTTGGGTGGAGGAGGGAGACTGATATTCTGCATCTCTAGCAAGCTCCAGGAGATATGGGTGCACACCTTGAATAACAAGCCCTAGCATCCACCTTGCATCTTCTGCAGGAAGACCTGGCTTTCTTGAGCCTGTGGTAGTTTGCTGACTGCAGCAACAGGTGTGGAATTCAGGCAAAGGCTAGCACTGGTGTTAGCTATACAACACAGGTGCTACAGGTAGTAACTGTCAGGAGGCTGGCTGCCCAGCCAACTAATTCCTTGGTGTTATGCCCACCCTAATGACAGAGCTTCTTTGGGATAAAAGCCTTTAATTTCCTCCCCCTTTGGACAGCGCCCCCTGCTGTTAGGTGGAAACAGATGATTCCCCTCTGCTTGAGTTGGTGCCTGGAGCACTTCTTACCCTGTCGCTCCAGTGCAAAAGGCAGTGCCTCAGCAGCCTGGCCTGTTACAGCTCTACGGGGCTCAGGAGCGCTGGACAGGGCACCTTCCGGTGTCATCCTACACCTAGAAGGTAAGACCCAGGGCCCTAGGGTGGCCTTTGCTTTTTCTTGTAATCACTGTGGCTTTTCCCCTACACTTTCTTGTCTGGGGAAATCTATGCTCCCTGACTGCAAGGTGAACCTTGGCCCCAAGGTGATCCCTGTAAAGTAGCTGAGAGTAGTTGGCAATATCTAGTCTCTTAAAAAAATGGGATTTAGCTCAGTGGTTTCGCTGCCTGCTGTGCAAGTGCAAGGACCTGAGTTCAATCCCCGGTACAAAAAAAAGTGTTTTTTTTTTTGCTGGTCATTAGTGGCACAGGCCTGTAATCCCAGCACCCGGGAAGCCTGAAATAGGAGGAGATCAAATTCAAGCCCAGCCTGGGCAATTAAGCACATTAGTGAGACCCTGTGTTAAAACTTAAAAGTGATTAATTAGAAAGGGCTGGTGATAGGATGTTGTTCAGTGAAGACCCCAGTATAACCCCCAGTAATGAGGTAGGAGAACAGGGCTGGAACGAAGCAGCCTGGGTAGAATGTAATCCTGCCAGCCTTGGTAGGCTGTAATCCCAGCACTTGGGAGGCCGAGGCAGGAGGATTGCTGTGAATTTGAGGCCAGCCTGGGCTACACAGTGAGTTCAAGGTCAGCCTGAACTACCTAGCGAGAGCCTGTCTCCAAAAAATAAAAATAAAAAAAACAAAGCATGGAGACCCAGGGTCCAGGAAGACTCTGCAGCTCCTGACCATCGTATGCAGAGCAGACCAGAAAAGCGCTGTTTTCCGTTCATCACTTACACCTGGCAGGAAGCCAAGTGACTCTAGATGGGGCAATTCAAATCTGGTGCCAGGCCACATGAGCTTTTGGTGGGACAACTGTCCTGATGCCTTATTTGCACGAGGGAGAAACAAAGCCGGGAATGTTTTTTTTAAATACTGCAGAGTGTATTTGAGCAAACAGTAATTCACAAGCCAGGCAGCTCCTGAGGGAGGGGGTTCCAGCTCTGACTTGGCCATTAGGGGAAAGCCTTCCTGGGTGAATTCCACAGAGGATATTTGAGTAGTGATTCAGTCTAGAGAGCTGGGATGGTGGCTGCAGGGGTCGGGGGGAGTGTCAGCCCTTTGACTTTGTATCCTTCTGTACCATTTGCATTTTTACCTGAAACAATAGGGTTTTAATAACTTTGTTTTTATAACTAGCCTTATTTTTTTTTGAAGCAGAGTATGTATTGGTACATTTGATATACATGATAATGCTCTTCATAGAGAATTTGTACCTGTACATGATAGATCTTGCTGCTGCTCTTTTTCCCATTCCCCCTCACTCCCTTCATCCCCTTTTCCCCTCCTTATTTACAAAAGCTCTGTTTCCATATTTTCCTTCTATTCTCTTTTTCTTGTCCCTCCCTTCCTTTCCCCCTCCCCTCTTCCTTGTCCCCCTTCTCATCTGAACATTTTCTTCCCATTTTCCAATATCTATTACACATTTTAGTCCTTATTTCCACTTTTAGTTTCTCACACCAAGGAAACAATTTGGTACTTAAACATGTGTGCCTGATTTATTTCACTTAAGAGTACGGTCTCAAGGTGCATCCACTTAGTTAGAAATGTCTCAAGCTTATCCTCCTTTATAATACTCCATTGTATATAAAAACCCCCACATCTTTCCTCATTCATCGGTTGATGGGCATGTGGGCTGTTTCCCAGATTTAGTTATTGCAAACTGTGCTGCTATAAACATGGGTGTGCATATATCACTTTGGTATGATGCTTTTAATTCTTTTGGAAGGATACTGTGTTAGTTACTTTTTTTGTTGCTGAGACAAAATACCAGACACCCAAAGTTAAAGGAGGAAAGGTTTATTTGGCTCTGTAGAGGTTTCAGTCCATAGTCGGCTGGCTCCAAGGCAGAGTGGCGTAGCACATAGGCAGAAGTCAGAAAAAGCAACAAGGGACCTTAACAGCGTCTTTCTGTTCCTTTATGTTATCCAGACTACTGAGATTAGGGTGGTGCCAAACCAATCAGTGGACTGGTTTAGTAATCACACAGCCTTCATCCCAGCATCACACACTCTAGATTCAGCCACCTCTGAAAAAGCCACCTATGACCGCATGAGGCTTTGGGAGGACATCTAGACACATACCATAGCAGATACCAAGAAGGGGAATAGCTGGGTCGAATGGAACCTCTGGTTTTAGTTTTTTGAGGAATCTCCACACTGATTTCCACAGTGGTTGCACCAGTCTACACTCCCACCAGCAGTGGAGCAGGGTTGCTCTTTCCCCACAGCCCCGCCAGCATTTGTTATTGGCTGATTTCTTGTAATAGCCATTCTTTCTGGAGGGAGGTGGAATCTTGGTATTGTTTTAATTTGCAATATTGAATGTAAAAGAACCCTGTCCTTTATCCTCAGGGCTGCTCTCACACTGTACTTCTGTACTGAGTGTACTTCTTTTCCACCTTCCATAAATAAACACCCCCGCTACCTTTTCTTAAGCCTCATCCAATTCTTTGTTCAGGACACCAAGAACCTGGAAATAATTCCCCTGTGACCCACCACCCAGTAACAGTAATGCCAAAAAAGGGGGCACTGATAGATTGTCCTCTGGCAGGCCCCCCTGAAGTGATTTGCTGCTACAGTGAAAAAAGTCATGGACATTAAATTGAGTTAAAGCAGGGCAAGGTGCCCCAACACACCTGAGATGAGTATGTGCCATCTTGCCTTCCCGGGGAAGATGAGGTGGATGTGAATCAGCTTGTGGTGTTCTTAAACGCCTCCTCCTGATTCACACTTGGAGAACACGTGCTGGGGAAACGTGTCAGGAGACTCCTAGGTTGATTTCTCCACTTTGGATGAGTAGCAGCGTGCTCTTGCTTTCTCTGACCCCAGCTGTTTTGTTTCACGTGTACACAGTGGGGAGTGGATGGGAGGAAGAGGAGAGCACGGACGGTGACGATGTACCTCACCAGCACCATGACCCGGTGTACCGGCCAGCACTCCCTGGCTCCTTTCTGGAGCTGAGGGTGTAGCTCGGCGGTACAGTACTTGGCTGTCAAGTGCGGGACCCTGGGTTTGCCCAGCGCTGCAAAGCAAAATCAAAAACCTGCTGCATGATTTGATGAATCACTGAGGGGGGGTGAATCCCTGGGTCACCGAGGGGGACAGCAGTGGTGGCTCTTGGCAGGTCAGCCTTTCTGCCAATCACAGACGCCCGAGGAGTGAATAGGAAGATTTTCCCTAATGCAGTTCATCCCTGCGTACTTCTCATCAAGGCCCAAGCATCCGAGCACTGCTTGTTTCAAGTTCATTCCCCTTTGTCTAAGCTCTGCTCTCCCTCTGGCCATTTCTTTAAGACTTACTTTTCTGCGTGTACAAGCACTGGTGCAGAACAGAGCTCAGCATTTAAGAGCTAAGGGTGCTCCTGGGGAAGGCCTGAAGCCCTGGGAGCAGAACTCCACCGGGCAGCCCTGGACTCAGCAGAGCTTCAGTGAGGCCCATGCAACTTGAGGAGAGATGCTCCCTCAGCCCTCGGCTTCAGAGGCGTCTGGCCCAATAGCAGTCTTCACAGTGGCTTCCAGGGGCAGTGAGCCAAGTCCGTTCAGTCAGAGACAGTTCTGGGTATTCCTTTTAGCCTACAATGGTTGTTGGATGCTGAGCAGAACGCTGAAAGTTTGGAAAATTTAATCAAGGATCCCTGTGATAGCTGTTTCCCTCCAGGGGAGGGTGTGGCCTGGGCAGATGGAAGGATGGGTGAGGCTACTCCCCCTCTTGCCCTGTGCCTTGTTGGTGATGATTTTGAGGCTCTAAGAAGGGTTTCCACTTCCGAGAATGAAGCACCGAAATAGCAAGCTGTACATCAGGACCTGGATCCAGCAGGGATGTGCCCTGGCAGATCTGCAGTCTGGGGTGGGTGGTCTGCCCGCAGGGAGAGTGGGAAAGAAAGGTTGTTCTTCAGTGCCACAGAAACCCGTCTCATAAACACTCTTTCCCTGCCTGGCCTAGACCCCCACTCCCTCAGAGCCTTCTAGTGAGGATTCATCCTTGCTCTGAGAAACCGAGCCGAACTGCAGGCGTGCAGTCTGCTGGATCTCCAAACTAGATGCCTTATTTATTCTGGCACCCACTACAGGGAGCCAAGGTGGTCTCCGTGCCCACTTCCTGTGGCCTAATCACCGGCCACCCATATGACCATGCGCCAGCAAGCCTGAAATTCCGATCCACAGGAGCCAGCAAGGTAACCCAGCAGTGGCCAGCCCATTCCTTAGCTGATTCCTTCTCCTGGTGGCTGCCCAACTGAGGAGGACCTTTCTCATTTCTTGTATTAACTTCTGCAATTTGGCTGAGTCTTCTTAAGGGCCAAGCTAGTGGCTCTTGACCTTCACAGTACAATGAAATCACCTTTGTGAATCTTCATTGCTTCTGACTTCACTGGTCAGGGCTGGGAGTCCGGCATTGGGACGTTTAAAACCTCCCTTAGGTGATTCTAATGTGTAGCACAAGTAGGAAACCATGGCCAGCTGAAGCATTTATATGTCTGATGATCTGACAAGGATTATATAGGCAGATCCAGGGCTCCTTACCTTTCTTGGCTGCTTTATACAAAGCAGAGTTGATTTGGAGAAGATTTGACCAGGATGCTGATCCCAATCCTGGCTCCATATAAACTCCTTGCTTTCTAACAGCTAATCCGCTGGCTGACTTCTTGCCTCTTTTCTTTCTTTCTTTTTTTTTTGGTACCGGGGATCTAACTCAGGTCCTTGTGCTTGTGCAGCAGGCAGCGAAACCACTGAGCTAAATCCCCAGCTGTCTTGCCTCCTTTCTAAGCAGAGAATTTAAAATGCTATGGGTGCAAATAACGTATCCCAGGTAATACTGACAAATAAATAGGATGCCCACTTAAATTTGAATTCCAGATAACCAGTGAAATGTTTTAGTATAGGTAATATTGTAATATCAGGATAGGGTAATATTTGGGATAAACATGGAAGACATTATAAAAAACTTAATAAGGTATTCAAGCTTGGACAGCCTCTATT